ATTTGATCAGCCTTCTGTTCTATAGCATTTTATTCGCAGGAGTCCTAAAACGACACCACACAAAATGTATATGCTTGATGGTAACTAACCATTTGATTCCCCCGAATATTCTCCCAACCTCTCCTAGGATTCCATTATAATACCCGGATATCTTCAAGATTGGTTTATGCAAGTTATGTTTTCTTAGTTATTTTTACTTTTTATTTTTATGTATTTATCTTTTATCCTATCTTATTGTATTGTAGTTATTTATCTGTTTATATATTTATGGAGTATTGTTGCCAGCTGTTTATTTTGGCATTACGTTGTAATTAGGTCAATATCCGCACCGCCGGGAATCATGGTTTGGCAAAATATTTATTTGATATTTTCTTTCAAAACAATAAGGCCCTGTTGCCCCTTTGCGCCATAGGCTCCACACGAATGGTGGTCGGTTTCGTTTTACGATTTGAGATCCAACAATGCATTCTTCTTCGTTCAACACACGAATTTCAAGTTTCAAAGGATTTTGGGTTCTCCTTGCGAAAGGGTGGAAGGCAAAAGACCTATGCATTCTTGATGCTTCTTCCTTTAATTCCCCCTTGTCCCAAGTGTGCTAACTCAAATATAGATACATTCCTTTGACCCTATCCACGGTGCAATTTAGGTCGAAACAGGTCAAAGATGATCCAAGCTACTGACTACTTTTCACAAATTAAATCATTCAGGTATATGGCTTTCTATCATATACTATTTTAATATAATCTATCTATGGGGGGTTGATATTTTTTTGGAAATATATACATGCAGGAGGCAAAGAGCCCAGAATGGACACAAAATGAAGAACATTTTAATGCATTATGAACTCTCATTTGTATAAAGGAGGCAGAGGCTACTAGTAATCTAAAATTACGGTACAGTACAAAGATTTTTTTTTTAAAAAAAAAAAAGAAAAAAAAAGGGAAACAAATAGGGGCAACAATATAACAAAATAACCAGAGAAATATTTCAAGCGAGCCAGGGTCTGATTCTAGAATCTATTATCCCTCCTTGTGCGGAACCTTCTGGTCTAATGACTGTGCCAAACACATCTCATAGTAAATCCCCTTTTTAGCCAATAGCTGCGCGTGCGTCCCAGATTCCAAAACCTTCCCTCGTCCAAATACAAAAATCACTGAGGCGTTTTTAATCGTAGACAGACGATGCGCAACCGCCACCGTCGTCCTACCGGATGACGCCTTTTCCAAGGCCTCCTGAACCACCTTTTCTGAATCTGTATCAAGAGCAGACGTCGCTTCATCAAGTAGGAGCAGTTTCGGCGCGCGAATCAGCGCGCGAGCAATCGCGATACGCTGTCTCTGGCCGCCGGACATTTGCGTACCGCGTGAGCCACAGAGGGTGTTGAAACCGTCAGGGAGGGAAGAGATGAACGTGAATACATTTGACTGGCGGGCCGCCTCCTCGATCTGTTCCTGTGTAGCTTCTGTTTCTAAGCCCATTGCGATATTGTCGCGGATGCTGCCCTGATACAGAGTCGGCTCCTGTTGAACGAGCGCGACTCGCCGACGGTATTCTCGAGGGCATAACTTGGAGATGTCGTTCTCGTCGAATTTGATGCAACCAGAACTGGGGTCATAAAAGCGTTCTAGAAGGGAGATTATGGTAGATTTACCACAGCCGGATGCCCCGACAAATGCAGCAAAAGAGTTTGGTTTTATCTGCATATTCATTCATTGGTTAGTTAGGCGTTTGGCTGCTAATGGGAAATGGTATAAACTAACAGTGACGTTTATTCCGCGAAGGACACGTGCGTTTGGGCGTTGCGGATAAGCAAATTCGAGGTCTTCTAATGTAAGCAAACCGTCACCATCAGGCTTCTTTTCGATATCCGGATCGGCTGAATCATCATGAGCTTGGATTTGAGGTTTAAGGCTCCGGAGCCAAAGTATGTAATTCCCCGCGATGTGGGCGTTGGTTATACCTTTGAGAGGATTCAGCTGCCGTGTCCCTTACAAAAATAGGAGAGAATGATATCAAAAGGTGTGACTGACTGGTTGTGTATGAGAAAAACTGAGCGGCCGCTTGCCCGCTGAAAACAACTCCGACGAAGACAATGAACAACTGGTTTAAAGAATATTCCCCGAAAGATACAAGGCGGCAACCATACCTAAATAAACACTTGCTCAGCCTTTGCAACTAACGTGAACGAGGATACGAGGAGAGATATTATAGCGCTTACCAGAATCCAAGACACATGACAAGGAATTCAATCGATTGCGCCAGACTATACCAAAGCATTGTCCATACCACGTTCCGTATGGAGTGCTTAACAATGCCATTCATACTGCCATGATACTTAGCGAGAATATAATTTTCGAGTGCCAATGATGCCACCGTTCTGATAGATGAGACGGCTTCGCTTGCAAGTGCTGCACTTTTCGCAAACCGATCCCCCGTGAGCGATTCGAATTTCATTTCAAGTCGGATGCGAAGATACCCGCAGATAAGCAAAGGTGGCAAGCCACCAAATATGGTAACCAGTCCCAGTTTCCATCCCACAATGAGTGCAAGGATACAACTTGAAGCCAAATTAACGATTACGATTATCATTAGGGGCATGTTAAACCCCAAGAGCTCCTGGAGTTGCGTTGGTTTGGTGGTCAAGTTGGAGGTTAGAGAACCAACAGCATTCTCTGGCTTGTCGAAGAATTCCATATCCTGCCGGAGGATTGTTTCGAAAATTTCTAAACGAAATCGGTGGTTAACCACCTACAAATAGGACTTTAGTAATGTTCATACGGAGAAATATCTCTGTTTTAGGTACAACGAACCTGGGCAATACGGTTTGAAACATATCCAAGCAGGAAATAAGCGATAAAGTTTCCAATTGCGACCATAAAAAACATGAGAGAGAAGAAGTCTCCTCTCTCTAGCATAGCAGAGCCTTGAAGTGTGAATACCGAAACAAGGCGCGAGAAAAGAACTGCCTGGGCAGGATACGTTAAACCTGTTGTCGCAAGCTATTAGATCAAATCTTCAAAGCGTAGAATGGCTTAAACACTTACCACCCGCGATACAAGAAATCACGACAAGAATGTATTGAAACTTTATCCCCTTTTGCTCTTTCAAAAATATGTACAAGCATTTTAACAGACTGTGCTTCATCTCATACAGTGGGCGCTCGGATCCGTCCACGGTAGCTTCCGTAGGTCCCACAGCAGATCTCGTAGTCGTTGATCGGAGCAATGAGACACCGCCCTTCATTGGGGTAGTAGATTCGGCAACTCCAAGGCTGTCTTCTCCTGGGTCCTCATCTACTTTGCCGCCAAGATCCTGAGCACGAACAAGATGTGCATACGCACCACCTGCAGCGACCAATTCATCATGAGTCCCTTGTTCAACAACCTTGCCAGCTGACATGACGACAATATTATCCGCATTCCTGATAGTAGCAAGCTTATGGGCTATAACGATGGTAGTACGGTGTTCGGAGACTTGGTCAATCGCTCTCTGAACAGCTTTCTCCGCGTGTGGGTCCAGAGCACTCGTTGCCTCGTCAAGGAGTAGGACTTTCGGATTGGAAATTATACTCCGAGCAATAGCGATGCGTTGTTTTTGTCCCCCTGAAAGCATACTTGCCCTCTCCCCAATTTCGGTGTTGTAACCCTGCCAGCTGTCTCAGTCAAAGTTACAAATAATTTTTATCTTGTGAATAATCTTCTTACCTCCGGCAATTCCTCAATGAAGTCATGGGCGTTTGCTAGTTTACAAGCGTTGATGACATGCTCCATTTTTTCAGATTCTGGAATATCCGCCGCTTCTGTTCCAACCAGACCGTGGCAAACATTTTGGAAAACTGTTCCATTGAATAAAACGGGTTCCTAAGATAAAATCAAAAAAAAAAAAAAAAATATCAGTGCAAGTTTCAAGTACACTTCACATTGAAAGGGGTTTATACTTGTTGAACAAGCCGGATCTTGGTCCGAAGCCAATGTAGATTTAGCTGATCAATGTTCCGCCCGTCGAGGGTCAAGGTGCCACTCGATGGGTTATACCAACGCTCAAGAAGTGCGATTATTGTGCTCTTACCACACCCGCTGTGGCCAACTAATGCGGTTGTTTTGCCAGCAGGAATATGAAGATCCAGCCCGCATAAAACGGGAAAAGAAGCTCGCGAAGGGTACGAAAAGTGCACATCCTTAATTTCGATGTCGCCGTTTAAGTCCGTTGGGCGAAGGCCACCCCCCGATAAGGGATCGATCTCGGAATGGCGATCTATCGTTTTAAAGAGCTCCGAAGCAGCAGAGGCAGCTTTACTAAATGCTATAGAATGGGGGGCCATTTGCGAAATTCCGGTCGCCGAGATTATGATCGAAAACAAGACTCTAGATTCTAGGTTTAGAAAAGGGTTGGAAAGAAAAGAAGTTGACGGAAGTAGGGGAGACTTTACGTGACTATTTTCCCGGAATTTTCAATTTCCCCTTTCGCAAAAAGCCTGACCCCCTGCCAGAAGATCAGACCATAAGCGGAGTAGGTACAAAAGAATTCTGTTGAAAACAGAAAACCATAATTTGGAGATTTTTTGTTCCCTTCTAGGTGCGCGAGCTGCAGGAAATCATTGTATGATTTCGCCAAACGTGGATGCGCCCAGAAGGCTTGAACAGTCCGAATGCTGGAAAAGGCTTCTTCCGCCAATGCGCCAGCTTTGGAGTAGAATCCTAGTATCGTTGTTTCTTGCTTTGTATCGATGGCAATGCAAATCACCATGGCCGCGATTATCACTGGTATAATGCATATTCCGATGAGTGTTAACTTCCACTGGACAACGAAGGCTATAATAAACCCAGAAAAGAAGGTCGAGGTCGCCTGAATGGTCAGGGCGAGTTTCTCAGCAATTCCCTGGTTGACAAGATTCCCGTTTGTTGTTACATGCATCGCAGTAGCCCCTTGGTTTGAGGAATCAAAAAAGCTGACATCCTGGCGAAGGGTTTTCTCAAGGAAATCGACCCGGAGAGCTTTAGTAGTTCTTATTCCAGCAATCGTAATAGCCACCTTCAGGATGTCAGTATGATCTAAGTTCGAATGTGCGCGGATATGTTCGTACCGTAAAGATATAAGTGAGAGCAAACTTGCCAGCAAAGAGATATATGAAGTAAAGCCTTCCTACAGTTAGCCCAAACATGATTCCCAATTTACAGAAAAGTAAGAACTCGGACTCACGCAAGTCTGTTCACTTCCGAACGGAAACGGTCTGGTTCCCCCACTCCTGTAGCGAAATCCGTAATAGTAGTTACAAATCCACCAAATACCAGTGTCATCAATGGCATGGCAGCCCCAGCAGCGAGAGCAGTGACGAAGGAAACCACATAGAGAGCCCAAGCAGTTGAGTCTGTATAGGAAAACACCCGCTATTGTTTTTGATTCCACATTAGATCTAAGCAAAGGTCCGCATAGAATATCACGGATGCTCACCAGCAGGTCTCCAAATCCACCCTCCTCCTTGGTCTTGCTGTCAGTGCTTTGCGTGACGCAGGCTTTTTCTTCAGGCGACGACATGATGTAAA